ATTAGAGCTTGGTAGAATGAGCGAGGGCAGGTCACTAGGGCGTCTCCCTTTTCTCTAGTAGTATTGACTGCTTCTCTCCCGTCAAGATTCAAAATACCCAACATACGAGCATTTGATGGGAATTCTGATCCGTAGGATCATCTCTATGAGTTTAACGTCCACATGGAGCTTCACCAAGTTTCCAACTTGGCTAAATGTCACTGCTCAGGAGTGACTGTGACTACCCACGCCAAGCGTTGGTTTAGATCGCTTCCAGCAGGATCTATTAATTCGTGGCAGCAGATGAGTTTGTTATTTTTGAGACACTTCCAGGCTAACAAGAAGTTCTCAATGTCGTTGAGCTATCTGAGCAACATACAGTAGGAGAGGAATGAGTCCCTCTAGTCTTATATCGACAAGTTCCACAAGGAGCTCCATAAGGTGGCTAATACGCCTGAATAGTCAGTTTAGACTCTTATTATTGTGAGAGTTCGCCCACAAACCGACTTGTGGAAGAAGCTGTAGTCTGAGGATGATATTTTCCTCACTGGTTTCTACGACCTCACTAGTTTCTATAACCTCGCTGATAAGTATCTTAGGATTGAAAATTCAGTGACCGTTTTGAATCGCCACGACCCCAGTCCTTCGACTAGCGCTCCTAGTCGAAGGGAGGAAAGCCGGGGGGAAGGTAGTAGAAAGTCTAATCGCAAATAGGCTAGTGACAATTAGAGAAAGGGAAAGAAGCAGTGGTTTGAGCCCAAAAAATCTTAATCTCAAGTTCCTCATCGCGATAGCGACAAGAATCAATATACTCCATTGTTGGTTATTCTAGATAAATCAGCAGAAGCTAATTTGCTCGGAGAGCCGGTGCCTATAAATAACCCCCCTTCAGTAAGGAACAATAAGAAATATTGTCATTATCATCGGGACAATGGGCACCATACCAATGAATGACGAGCTTTTAAATAGGCAATTGAGGACCTCATTAAAAATGGGCACTTTAAAGAGTATGTTGATGATCCAACTCCACTCGTGAAAAGGATCAAAGAGACCAAAGGAAGAAGCACCATGGTCGCAAGGGCCTTCATCTTGTTGGAACGATATTTAGAGGGCCGCACTTTGCGGGGAATTCTCGAAGTGCTCAAGAGAAGTACGCTCAAGAAGCTCGCCATGACCTAGTGAGTTTGATGAGCACGACGTTGCGACCTGCAAAGGTGCGCAGAGAGGAGGAGATTACCTTCTTAGAAAAAGACGTGGTATGATTGCATCACCTCCATGAAGATGCACTCATTATTGTGCTTGAAATAGGTCAGTGCGAAGTCCACGGGATGTTGGTGGATAATGGTAGTGTCATGGATATCCTATTTCAGCGAGTATTCAAGGAAATGTAATTGGACGAGGCAGATCTGAAGCCTGCCTCTATCCTTCTTTATGGTTTTACAAAGGATCATCTGATTCCCAAGGGAACAATGCACTTCCTGTCACTTTGGGTGAGACCCACGAAGTGACTAAAATGACCAAGTTTTTGGTAGTAGACTATACCTCCATCTATTATCTGAATATGAAATTTCCCACACCGACAGGGTGCGGGGATGTTAAGGGGACTCAAAGTGAATCTTCCAACTGCTACGTAAGAGCAATGCAGACGGCGTGCAAAGGGAAAATAAAGCCAATCGGCATTCCCGAGCAGGTTATGGTGCTCGGCAAAATCGAACCACAACCAGGTCTAGTGGAAGACAATTTAGACCCTCGGGTTCAGGAAGAATGTTCTCATAGTAGGCCTGTTAAGACTCTATTTAAGGTACTAGTTGACTAGAGCGAGTCGACCGTGTATTGAGAATCGGAAGTAATCTCAACCCTTAGCTCGCTGCCGATCTAACAAGCTTCCTCAGGCAGAATATTGATGTTTTTGCATGGACTCATGCTGACATGGTCGGGATCAGCCCGAATGTAATATGTCATATGTTCAACATCGACAATAAGATCAGGCCAGTTTGCCAGATCACTACAAAGAAGCTCAAAGACTTTTTCTTCAAGAATATAGTGTGCCGCTATGGGATTCCTCATACACTCATCTCAAAAAATGGGAAGCAATTCGACAATGAGGAATTCAAGTAGTTTTGCAAAGAGTTGGGGATTCATAAGAAATTCGCCTCAATGGCAAGATTGCAAGCTAATGGTCAGGTTGAAGCTGTCAACAAAACTATTAAGCACACGTTGAAAGTCAAGCTTGGTGCAGCCATGGGCAGTTGGGTCGAAGATCTCCCAAAAGTTCTATGGGCATATAGAATGACTCCAAGAACCTTTACTTTAGAAACATTTTTCTCGCTAGCATATGGCTGCGAGGCAATGGTTTCAGTGGAAGTAGGGACTGGTTCACTTTAAAGAGAGTTTTTTAAGTGAAACAGACAATGAGGCACTCTTATGTGTGAGTCTGGACTTAGTTGAAGAACACCACGACAAGGCTCGATTAAGGATAGCTTCCTACCAGCAGTGGGCAAAAAGATTCTTCGACTCCAAAGTCAGGAGAAGAGACTTTCGGGTTGGCGACCTGGTTTTGAAAAAAGTCCTTCTCGGCACAAGAGTGTAATAACTTCTTTTCAACTAGTATACTTATAACATAAACTATGAAAAAGATACATACTTAATAAATGAAAAGTAGTTCGGCCCAAATTTTTTTTTTTTTTTTACTTAAAATATATTATTCTGTACATAGCAAACCCACATATACAAAAGCTTTTACAATGGTGGACAGTCATGCCATTTCTCTCCGCTTGTCGACGTCCATCCAACCGCTTCTCACCTATTTCTTGCAAAACATGGAAAAACAACGAGGTGAGCATAAAAATGCTCAGTAAGTAAATTCTCTACTCCTTTATCCCCACGACTTATACATTGGTTCTTTCCTTACTATATTCTTTTCTTTTTCATTCTTTCTTTGTTCTTTCTCTGTTTCTAGTTCTCATTGTTCTTTCCTTTCTTTCTAATTCTTTTTGTTCTTTCTTTCTATTCTTTCTTTCTTGCTATTCTTTCTTTCTACTCTTAGTCTCGCTAACCATGATGGAAATCATGGTAGCATTCATGAATGAAATGCATATGCAGTAATGCATAGACATGCGTTTTCTTTTCTTCTTTGTCTTTCTTATTCTGTTTCTTTTCTTGCTTGCTCAAGCTTTCTCATTCTTTCTTATTCTTATTCTCTTTCTTATTCTTTCTTATTTATTTATTTTTATTTTTATTCTTTTTCTTTTTCTGTGCCGATCGGACTAGGTTGATGCATGGATTTGGAACCCCAACTGTAACTTCTTTCTTCTTCTTAGGCCATTCAATTAAGGTGGCATGCATATAGGAAATTCTTCTTGGTACAGCCCTCATCCACATACACTTTTACGGGCCGTACAAATTCTTCTTCTTATGCCACTCAATTAAGGTGGCATGTATGTGGGAATTTCTTCTTCTCAGCACTCACGAGTTCCCCATCGCAACAACCTATTCTTTTCTCTTCTTTAGCACTTTTCTTTCTTTAATTCTTTAGTGTTTTTCTTTCTTTCTCTTTACTCTTAAAGTTCTTTATTCTTTCTTTAAGTTCTTATGCATATGCAAATATATACATGTGGATGGCTCATGCTTATGCTTCTTTCTTAGGTGCAATTATGCAATACAAATATGCAATGTTGCACAAAATTAAGTTTATCTATTCATGCATATGCTTCTCTCAGGCATTTCATCAAACAACAAGCATGCATACTTAAATTCTACTTTAACTATACTTCTCCTTCTTTCTTAAACCATCCATAATTAGAGTAAAACTCCCTTGAATCATCACAAATCCTAGCCAATAAAATACATTTCATAAATGCTCTTAAACTCTTTCTAAATTCAACCCAACTTCTATCAAATTCTATCAACTCAACCAACCCTTCTCATGTAGAAAACCCATTCATGGATCATCATCAAACTCAATAACAAGTTTCATACACAAATCTCAAGCATATGAACTTCATATAAAATTCACATAAAACAATCTCTATGCTTTACTTGCTCAAACAAGGGTTAGGGTTGGATTTACTTACCTTTTTCCTGAGTAGTTTCACAAAAGCTCACTATCTTTGTTGGACTTGTTCTCTTTTTCCAACCCTAAGCATAAATTCTATAAGAATTCCATACTGACATAAATTAATCTCATGTCTAGAGCAGAATCCTTACCTCTTGATGCTTAGGATCAAATCCTTGTCAAAATCCAACCAAAAGCCCTCAATTTCCTTAGCAAAATGGATGAAGAGTTAAGAGAAATTGAGAGTAGTAGAAGTGTATGGGGTGTAGAGAATGGGAGGGTTTCTAAGGCTAAACCCTTGTTAGCTCATATAAATAAGCATTCTTTCCCATTTTGCCCTTGCACTTTCTTGGAAATTCCATCTTTACCCTTTAATTCTTTACACATCCACCCTCACTCCAATGCATTCTCCTTGAAATTTCCTTGCATTTCACTCCCCACTTTTCTTGCTAATTAGGGGTAGAATGGTCACTTCATCCCTATGGAAAATTCTCTAGAAACTTCACTAGAAAAATCAATCGACTCTTTACCCCAGCGAAAAAATGCAGAGCATACGTCACCGCAGCAAAGCTTCTTCTTCGCCCCGGCAAAGTCTGCACTTCCATAATTCTCCAAGGCTTCACCAAATTCAGGGCATCCAAGCAACTTTAACACCTTACAAACTTACCCAAGGGCAACCAATCAACAATAACAACATAGCAATTTAACTTAGGGCCAACAAACAACACCAAGACAAAAATAAGCATACAAAACTACGTACCTCAAAGTGGGCGTTACAATTCTCCCCCCCTTAAAAGAATTTCGTCCCCGAAATTCAAACGAACAACTCCGGGTAACGGTTCTGCATTTCTTGCTCTGCCTCCCATGTAACCTCTTCAACGTTATGGTTTCCCCAGAGGACTTTCACTAAAGGAATACTCTTGTTTTGGAGCTCTTTAATCTTTCTGTCTAATATTTGAACTGGACGCTACTCAAACACAAGATTCTCTTCTACGTTCACATCCTTTATGTTCAGTATATGGGAGGGATCACTTACATACTTCTGAAGCATCGAGAAATGAAATACATTATGAACTCTGTCCATGCTGGGTGGTAGTGCTAACCTATAGGCTACCTTCCCTACTCGTTGTAACACTTCAACTAGACCAATGTATCTTGGTGCTAACTTTCCTTTGCTACCAAAACGCATCACCCATTTGTAGGGGGAAACTTTCAGAAAAACTTTTTCACCCGCTTTGAACTCAACATCCTTCCTCTTCAAGTCTGCATAACTTTTCTGTCTGTCTTGGGCTTGTTTCATTCTACTTCTAATCAATTTTATATCTTCTATCATTTTCTGAGTCATTTCTGGCCCAAGAGTTGTACTCAACTCATCTTTCTCACCTATCTCATCTCAATAAAGTGGAGATCTACATCGTCTACCATTCAAGGCCTCGTAAGGAGCAATCTTAATTGTATACTGGTAGCTATTATTATAAGCAAACTCCACCAAGGGTATAATCTGATGCCAGGATATTCTAAAATCCATACAACATGCTTTCAACATATCCTCAAGTATCTGATTCGTTCTCTTTGTCTGGCCATCTGTCTGAGGATGATAGGCAGTACTAAAAGCCAACCTGGTACCCAAGTTCCTCTGTAATCTCATCCAGAAAGCTGAGACAAATCTAGAATCTCTGTCTGATACTATCGTCTTGGGCACTCCATGCAGTCTCACTATCTTTTTAATGTAAATTTGGGCCAATTAATCTGTAGTGGTACTCTCTTTCACTAGAAGAAAATGGGCTGATTTAGTCAATCTGTCTATAATCACCCATACAGCATTATACCCTTTCTGTACTCTAGGGAGACCTGTAATAAAATCCATGGAAATACTCTCCCATTTCCATTCAGGAATACTAAGTGGCTAAAGCAACCCTGACGACCTTTGGTGTTCTGCTTTCACTTGTTGCAAACCAGGCACTTAGCTACAAAATCTGCAATATCTTTCTTCATACCTGGCCACCAGTAGCCTTTCTTTAAGTCTTGATACATCTTGGTTGGTCCATGATGAGCAGAGTATGGGGTGTCATGAGCCTCCGTAAGAATTCTCTTCTTCAACTCATCATCTTGAGGAATACATAACCGATTCCTAAAACGGAGGACACCATCTAACAAAAGGAACTCTGGTGTCTTGCCCTCATGCGCTAATTGAATTATTTTCTGACACCACCCATTAGCTACTTGCTTTTCTTTGATCTCTTCCAATAAAGTAGACTGCATCTCCAACCTGGCAATCCTTTCTGGTATGACCTTAATCTATTCTTTACACAATTCTTCTATTAACTCTTTCTGCCTTGTGAGTCGAGACAAATAAGCTTTCTTGCTCAATGCGTCGGCTACTACATTAGCTTTTCCTGACTGATACTTAATCTCACACTCATAATCTTTAACCAGCTCTAACCATCTTCTCTGTCTCATATTCAGCTCCCTTTGTGTAAAGAAATACTTCAAACTCTTATGGTCGATGTAGGTATTACTCTTGGCACCATAAAGGTAATGCCTCCAAATCTTCAATGCAAAGACCACAGCTGCCAATTCTAAGTCATGCGTAGGATATCTTGTCTCGTACTCTTTCAATTGTCGAGAAGCAGCAAACTTACCCAAGGGCAACCAATCAACAATAACAACATAACAATTTATAAATGTATACAAAAGCGACAAGGAGCTACATTAGGTAAAGATAAAAAGACTCCATTCCAGTAGAAAAGAGAGCAATCACTGGTCTTCGTTTTCGGGCCCCTTGGGTGCGACCTCTTGGCCGTTAGCTAATCGCTAACCTTCAGATCGATTGTGCGGTCTTCAAGAATATCTGTTTCTGGCTAATCGTCCTCCGGGGGAGGTTCTGGTTCCTCTTGCTATTCAGCCTGTTCAGCCTTGAGTATAGAAACAAGAACCGCTTGGTAATCATCAAAAAGGTCGGAGATATCCATTTCCAAATTTCTCGGGCGCAAGCTATATATAACTTGTATTGTCCAGTGAGTAGCCTTCCTCTCGAGCTCAAGGTTCTAGTGCCTCATCTGTTCATTTAAAGAAGTGACTCGCCCCTAAGCTAGCTCGAGATCCGTCTGTAGCACCCTCTTCTGCTTTTCTAAGTCTTCTTACAACTCAACTCGGGTCTTTTCTGTTGTTTTTTCACGCTCTAAGCTCGCTTGCAGCTTCTTTTCTCTCTGGCTCAACTCCTTAGTGAGCCTCACTATTGTTCGCTGGAACTCTTTATTTTCATCATTCTTTTTCTCAAGCTCGACCTTGTTGAAGTTTGATGCTTGCAAAGCAAAGTTCCTCTCAGTTATATATAGATTCGCCTGAACTTGGGCAGCTTTTGCCTCTACATCTAAAGCTGCAAGATCTTGCTTTAGTTTGGCATTTTCTTCCTTCAGTTAGTGAAGTTTGGCGGCAGAGTCCATATCCATCTTCTGCTAGGCCACGTTCAAGGTGAGCAAAGACTGCATAAAGAAGGAATAGGAAGTTAGTTAGTTTTTTTTTTTTTTTTTTTTTTTTTTTTTTTTTAAGTTTTTAAAAAAACTAAAGCTTCGACTGGTAAGGAAGAGTTCTCGAAGAGAATAGGTCACTTTTCTTGCCTTTGCATTTGAAGTGCGGTGACCACTAGGTCGATGGGTCGAGAAGCCACAAACTCGTCAAAGGTCGTGGCAAGTTGGCATTCCAAGAGGGTGTAAACCACCGGTTTTAAATGTTCTGGTAGCTACCCTAATGAATCCAATACGGACGGGTCTCGCCTCGTGGACGCAGGCGCTCCTTCGACTCGTTGCTCGCTTGCTCCCCTTCTTGAGCTCCTGGGAGCAATAGAAGTCCCAGGAGCCTCTCTTGAGGGAGCCCTCATAGCAAAGACTTGATAAGGCAAAATCCCACCTGGCAATACCTCGAAGTCCTCTAGTTCAAATTCAGTGTCTTCTTCGATGTGTAATTGATTTCTTTTCTTGGACTTCTGGCCCACAGTCTTCTTCTTTGAACCCTGAGCAGCCGCGGGCTGGGGAGCTTTTTCACGTTGCTTCGTAGGTTGTTGCCTTTCGACACCAATTCGTATCCCCCTTGTAGGGATATCACTAGAGGTCATTGCAACTGGTTTGGTCGGGTTAATCTTGGGGAAATTGAACCCCCCAATTTTCTTCGACATTGGCATGGTCACTACATGGCATGAAAATGAATCAACAAGAAAAGTCTTCTCTTGTTAGTAAAAGACTTAAAAATTCTTTTACGAAAGAAGTTACTTACGTGTTGGAGCTTCTAAAAACGCCTTAAGGCTGAAAAAACCATACTTTCACAGATTGGCGGTAGTCATGAGTAGCTTCGCGTCATGACTTTGTTCGGGTAAGCGACCAAATGCCTCAATGTAGCTAAAATCAGCTAGCACGGACAACCTAGTCGTTTTGTTTTCTGCAAGAAAGAAAAAAATTCATTAGCCTTAGTTATCAAAGGAAAGTTAAAGATAGAGGATGGGCAATCTAAGAATTGAAAGGAAAACCTACTTAGTTCCCTAAACTTACAGACTCTGTCATACTCGAAGAAGAAATACTTGGTTTCGTAAGCCCCGACGTTGCTGGGGTAACCAAATATCCCTCATTCGATCGTTGATCGCTTAGAGAGGTAGTATGAATACTTGTCTTTACTCCTCTTTAGATAATAGGCGCAGTCGAGTTCCACTGCTGTCGACAAGCCAAGGCTGTTTTTGCCAAATCCAAATTACATAGCAACTGCTATCATATATGCATTGGGCATCAACTGGAACGGTGCGACCTGGAAGTGGTTAAGAATCGACCTGATGTAGGGGTGGAAAGGTATCCTCACTCCACATTTAAAAATTGCTTCCGAGATCACAACCATTCCTTCATGAGGGTCTTGAGTAGTGTGCAACTTGTGTTGGGAGATGTTTATGTTGATCGCAAATTGGTCTACCGCCTTTTGTATCTCCTCCCCTGTAACTGTTGTTCGTACCGCCAACCTGGGACCTGTCGAGGTGCTTGGTGGCCGCGAGCTTCCCTCTCACACTGTTCTTACCTCAGGAGTGTCTATTGCTCTTAAAGTCTAAACATGTGTGATATGTAAAGGTGACTCAATCTCCGTACACATTGTCTCATACAACGACTTAAAAGAGTAAAGAAACCCTTATTTTTCTTCCATAAACCCTAAAAATTCTTAAGGATGTTTTTTTTTTAGGATTTGTGCCCTAAGTTTATATTCTTAAAGGTGTTTCTTTTCAAACACTACCCAAGAATGCTCATCGTCCAAACCCATCAGATGTCTATTGATGCGTGTTTACTACAACATGCAAAAATAGCAAGTATACTAGTCGCAAAAAGTAATAAAGTGATGAGTGAGTATCGTTCCCACGAGGATAGTGTTACTAATTACCGATTCGTTCCCACGAGGATAGTGTTACTAATTACCGATTTTTCTAGTTTAAGTCCTAATTGAAGCAACAATAAATTGGATTGATGAAAGATTAACAAACTAAAAACAAATGCAAAACCTAACAACTTAACTAATTAAACAATTCTAAAACAAATGCTAGGGTGTTGAATTCACCAAAATACGCTAACCCAAATCATAGAATCTATTACCCAAGTTCTAATTCCTTGATTGAAAATCGAATTCCCTAAGTTGTAAAACATACATTCTCATGCTACATTTCCCTACTTATCCCTATTAAGCTTCCGCACCCAACAAAATGAAGATTAATAGTTCAAAGGATTTTAAGCTTTGTGGAATTCTATCTAGATTTCATAGATCGCTAAACCTATCTCTAGCGTTTGCTAATCTACGGTATTTATCCCAAGAGGCACAATCACAAATCACTTCTCAGTCTCATTGTGAACAACACACATTTGAATGGTGATCAAGCATCCAAAAGACATTAAGCAAAGAGATAAACACTCAATCATGAAATTAAAACTCAAAGTAATTCAATCCATATAAATTTGAATCATTGTATCAAGATTACATCAAACCCTAGCTAAACAACTCAGTTCATACTCAAAAACGAAATAAAACAACAAAAACAAACTGAATCAAGATTCATCATTGAAAAGCAAGCAAAAGATGGAGAAATCTTCTCTAATTTGAAGCCCAAATCTTCAATAATCTTCTCCTTCCATGAGCTGCCTCCCAAATCACGAACCAAGCCCCTTTTCTCTTCCTTTTCGCTCTAATTTATACCTCTCTCACTTAAGGACGAAGCCCTAGCAAGCCAAAACGCGTCGTTTTATTTTTGCATCTGACGCAGGTTTCGCCGCGGCGAAGCTTTTTCCTCGCCGCGGCGAAGACTTACAGACCCAGTTTGAGCATGAT